CTTTCGGTGGTTTCAGTGGGAAACTACCACTAAACCACCCACTGATGGTTGAAAAGGGTCATTCCATTCCCTGCCTATCGCACCAGCAAGTTGTGGACCAGCGCCAGGTGAAGAGCCCAACCCATGACGCGAGTGCAAATGGAACTCTCGCGGTTGGGTGAAAAGAGCAGACTAATTGCAACGAGATTCGCACGTTGTTCACCTGAGAAAAGGGAAACATAAAAACAAAAAATGTATTAAAAAACAACTCCTGGAGATGAAGCCAACTAAAAGGAGCTAAAACCCTAAGGGACCGGATGGCTGAATCCAGCCACCAAGCTAGGCAGCCTAATCTCCAACTGAGTCTCTACGAAGGCGTCCCAGTCGATGCTCTGCGTGGTGTGGAACACCGCGCGCCGCACTTGCGCGCGGTTGGAGAGGGCCTGGCGTTTCGTGGAGAATGCGGCTTGTTAGGAGGTTATAATCATGGGTAGAACTAGGGCAACTGAGGTTGAACTAGTTCCCTCATCACTTATAACCATGGTGGCCTACTTGCTTAAGGGGCTGAATATCCGTGCATCTTACGGTGGAACGGGTTGAGATGCCCTAGGTCTCAAGTACCTGGTGGACGCGGTGATGGACTAGGGATCATTGCTGCGAAAAGGAAGGTTGCAACCTCAGCTGTCTTCAATTGGACTGTAAGCAAAAGGGCTCGTTCATCCCCCCCCCAAACCTCACACCAACAGAAACCCCGCCTAAAGAAAAAAATGATGCAACGAGTGATGTTTAAGCTATGGCTTAAAAGCTAGATGTAGGTTCGCACTCCTGCTGTATGGCTTAGACCCTGGAAAGGGTGGCAGCTCAATCCCCTTTGCGTCTCCGAGCCTTTGTTTGACGCCACGTCTGCCCGATTCGATCCATGACAGATTGCCATATGTTTGGCGGAAAGAATCTGGCCACTGAAGTAGGAATCCAGTACCCCCAAACCGAAGCTACGCGCAGGGTAATTTTGGTATAAAGTGTTTCTTCGTGACTGCATATTTCATGTTCACCCCTGGGTCGCGGTAGCTTCGGTTTGGGAGTGGTTGCAGAATCGAAATCAGACAGCCCATTGTGTCTTGTGAACTCAGATGCACAGTGGCCAATGGAAAGCACGGGCATCCTGTTTTGGTTGGTTCACTTTCAAGGGACACCCTTCCAAAAAAAAGGCACCACTGGGCAACTGGGTGCGGGACCAGTCTGAGAAACCCACATGTCTGAGACTGTCGGATCTCCCTTTGCTTTCCTGCCAAATGTCACGCGCCAAAAAGCTGTTGCAGGCCGGTCGGAAAAACAACATCCCCCCAAGCATGATTTTCTACGTGAGGCAGCACGAAAACAAGCGACTTCCACCCAAGGCAAGCCCAAAATCAACGTTGGCCCAGCATGGGCGACGTGTTTTTCTACCCAAAAGCCTTGGTTGCAGTTGAAGCCTCTGCAAAAAGTTGAACTTTTTGTGGGTTTAGTGCAAAACCCAACTTGACTTCACAAAAAGTTAAAGTCTAAAGATCCGTTGCCCAATTGCCAATAGCAGTCAAGAGTTAGTGATCCCCACAGGTCCCCAGGAAGTCAAGAAGTCTCAGCTTTCCGCCTAGCTGGATGCCCTGCGGGAATCCAGCTGGTTCTGCTGAGGCGCCATCCGTTGCCCAATAGCAGTCAAGAAGCCGTGGGAAAAACTCCAGGGACGCGGACCGCCGTCCCATGTGCCCCGAGTCCCATGCTCCGCGACTCCGCGCCTTGCACCCGCAGGCGCGCTCCGCAAACTGGGAGAACTCCTGAAGGGCTGTGGGGTTCTTTGTGGACTTTTTTTGCTTTGGCTGGCCTCATTATTTTTACCATGATCAAAGTCACCCTCTAACTAATGGGTTAAACGGAAACAACCCCAGTGACTGACTTTGGTAACCCCCAGAAACCGTCAAAATAATGACCCCAGTTTGGGGTGGTCCGTTTTCGCTTCCCCGTGTTTGTCGCGGGTTCAATGGGAGAGCGCAACCGCTAAGCCAAAAGCGACCAAAAACTGAAGGGGAAGCAAAGCGGCAGCCACTAAGAACCTAAGGTTCTAGAAACCTGGATTGGTCCTTTTGCTTAAGGGGCGGTCCAAGGAAAGGTTGCCTAAGGCTCCCGAAGGAACCTTAAGGAATCCTAGCGGAATCCTAGCGGAATCAACGAACCACCTTCTTTGTACCGACCCCTTAAGAATTCCCTTGCTTAAAATTAGACTTTTATTGGGGTATGGTGGGATGTCCGCAAGTGATACTGTGGATGGACGAAATCCATTTCGCACCTAAGAAACCATGAAGTGGTATGATTCCCCGGTAAATACCAACAAACAATGGTCTCCCATGGTTTCAAGGTGGTGCGAAGTGGATGTCGCAACCATCCACGCTAACACAACCTTGAACTCTTGGGGGAAAAAACGGGGCACCATGGGAGGTCCGGCTGTGGGAAAAAAGCGGGCATCCTTCTTTGGTTGGTTGACTTTTAGAAAACACCCTTAACGAAACAAGAACAACAAAAGGGCACCACTAAAAATCCAACTATAAATCGTTTGGCTCCGCAAGAACTCAGCCGCCTGCAGGAGCCGAAAGGCCAGCGACCGCTCTGGCACTGGCGTGCCCGCGCGGCCCATGCGGATCGCCTGCAAGGGGCAACGTTTGCGTGCGTGGGTGGATGGATGTGTCTTTCTCTCTCTCTCTCTCTCTATCTCTCTCTCTCTCTCTCTCTCTTTCTCTCTCTCTCTCTCTCTCTTTTTCTCTCTCTCTCTCTCTTTTTGTCTCTCTCTCTTTCTCTCCCCCCTCTCTTTCTGTGTTTCTGTGTCTCTGTGTGTGTGTGTGTCATGCTGTCGGGCAGCCTTTTTGGGGTTAGTAGTGTTTAAAGTCAAAGCAAAGGAGGCCCCCATTTTAACATCATTCCACGCCCAGTTGGAAACCATGTTGGCCCACCGTTGCATTTCCCTTGCAACCACACGGGGAACATGTATCAAGAATGGTCGTCCCCGTTCCATACATGTTCATCCCGGCGCAAAGTATTCGCCCAACCCTAGGACACACCAAACAAAGTTGCAAGTCTGCTTCACATTTAGTTAACCAAATAATATATATATATATTATAAATACATGTATCTATCACATTATGGGAGGATAGTTGGGGAGGAAGCAGGAAAAACCTCCCCCTTTCAGCCCGCCACAAGCCCAGCCTGTCGCGAGGCCACATACGCGGATTGCGGCTTCATGCCGCTTGTGGCTCACCCACCGCAAAGGGACGCTGTGGACAGGTCTGCGCAGCGCTTCACACACTGAAGCCCAAGATGGAAAAACTGAAATATCATGAATAAATGTAGAGATGATAGAATGTAAGTCTGTCTATGTGTCCGTGCGTGTCTCTGTGCGTGTCTCTGTGTGTCTCTGTGTGTGTGTGTGTTTGTGTGTTTGCGTGTCTGTGTGTTTGTGCGTGTGTCTGGCTATCTGTCGATCGGTCGGTCGGACGTCTCTCTCCCTGCGGCTCTGTCTCTGTTGCCGCCGCTATGTCTGTCTGATGTTTGTTCCAAGGGCAGTTTCTGATCACGGTGAGATGGGCTCCTAATATCCAAGTTTGGAAACCCAACTCACTTCCCACGAGGGTTGGCCCAAGCAAGTCCGCACATGTTGCTTACCCAAAAAACTGAAAGACTCAAGTGACAGCTTTGTTGAGCTTTCCGGACTACAAATAGGCCAAGGTCAAACCTAGGCTTCCTGAACATCCAAAAAAAAAGAGGAAAAAACACGCTGTTGCTGCTCCTCTACATCTGGCTTGCCTGCTATTGTTCGGGCAAAAGGTTGGCGTTCAGCCGACCCTGAGCCAAACAGCGGCCGAGCAACTGAGCTCACTGGTCGGAGCTTCAGCCTCCGGGCGAAAACACCACTAACCACACATGGGCATGGCTCAAAACTAAACCCAGGGACCTCAGGTTTTAGTCAACTGTCCATTTATCACGGTTCCATTTTGTGTACCATTTTGTAACCAGCCACATGTCATCACGTGTCCTGAGTAGCATGTTTGCACTCTTTGCGATTGGTACGACCGGAATCAACCCGCAGTCCTTGGCTTACTCTCCTTTTCTGGCGACACTCTTCTTCTAGTGTGGCGGGTCCTTCTTTCGGTATGCCGCCCTGATGCCCCAGATGGGACTGAAGTCAAAACTTCAGGGAAGGCAAATCCCTGCTCCCGCCACCCCCCCCCCCCGAAAGCACCCAGTGACCCGAACCCCTTGTTCGTTCATTTTATATGTCCCGAGCCAACCTTTGGCAGGGAGGAGATGAGGGCACCCACTGAACTGGAACTGGATCCCACCCCCCAAAAAGGCGATGATCTCGGTCCAGCCATTTTCCATAGGGGGTCATGCCTTTTGAGGTTCTCAAAATGCGTTTTGCGGGCGACAACAAATACATAAAAAAAAAAAAAAAAATAAGCCAACGTTTAGAGGGTAAAGTTCTGTAAGGATGTAACTTTGATGGACCCAACCGGGCCATGGTTGCCAATTTAAACTGGGTGTCCTGTTGGTGGTGGAAACTTGGGTTCTGGGGCCAGCCCCAAAGACGTGGTGTTTCAGGATCTGGGACACTCACACCATCCCGACCCTCTGAAAGAGGGGGGTGGGGGTGGGGGGTTCGGTTCGGCCAAGGCCATTTCTCGTCTTCCTCATGAAAGTGGAAATGGAGCCATGCGGGGTCACCCCGTCCCCCAATTCCATTCAGGGACCGGTGGGCAGCTCACCCAAACATAACCTAGTACACGCATAAATCCTTTGAAACAAAACTGGTAGAGGTGGTTTTAAACCTTTTACTTTCAGGCTTGGTTGCTGTTGACCCCCCTGCACAAAGTTTAACTTCTTGGGGGTGTAGTGGAAAACCCATTGATTTCCCAAAAAGTTAAAGTCTAAGGATCCCAACCCAATAGCAGTCAAGCAGGGGCCAAAGCAATTCCAGAAAGCCTCGCCAAGCAGCAGAACAGCGTCAGACCCAACGAAGAACTGGTTCATCTGCGCGCAATGCGTCCACTCTGATCCCGCATTACACTCCTGCGCGTCAGCCGCCCCACGGCTGGCACAAAACGCCCCATATACGACTGTGAACAGATGCCTAGAACCAAAAGACGGAAGCAACCAACACATGTATATATATATATATATGTGTGTGTGACAGAAGCTGAAACTGCAAACGCATGGGTCGAAAGATAGTAGTGCACATAATTCGGTGGATGATGATACATTGGCCCAACATCTTCAGTCTCTGTTCTATATATGTGTGTGTTGTTTTAGGTGACCCCCCCAAAATAAATAAATGGTGGTGTTACTTCCCATTTCCCTTTGCAAACGACATACCCCCAAAAACAGACAAACATTTTGTCACTTGGTATAACCCCACATCGGCCCGAATACATGACAATCCGTCCAGCTGCCCCGAAAGGTAAACAACGAAATAGAAGGAACTCTTTTGGGGGTTTGACCATCTTTAGTGCGTCTCGAAGCCCCGCCTCAAGGTGGAGGGGGTGGGGGTGTCCCAATTCCATTTGCTCAGTCTTCCTGAAAGGATGTTCTCACAAAGTGAACCTAGTGAGGCCGACTAATGCCTCGCGAAAGGTAGGGGAGTTGGCTGGGAAAATTGCGAGAAGGGGGAGAATCAGGGGAAATGGAGTCCACTTCTGCGATACAACAACAAATCGGAAGCCCCCATATAAGGGAGGAGATTCCCTTGTGATAAACCCTTTGATCCCACAACCCTGAGAATTAGATTGCATGAAGAGGCCCGGATAGGCCCGGCCTGAGCTGCTTTCTGCTATATGCGCGCTCTGCTCTCTTGCTCGCGTTCGGCTAGGCTCCTGGCCTGAATGCTTGGACACCTCCAACGTGTGATAAGCCCTTTGGTTGCCAGGGACATTACAAGGGACACTCCTAAAATCACCTGATACAAATGGCTCAAGGTGGTTTTTAACACCGCGAATCTAGGAGTCATGTTTAAGGATTTGGCATCTTACTAGGGGTTGGCCGGCCTGATGTGAAATTCCCAAAGGCGGGACTACCGATACTTACTATCTCAGCTGCCCCCGCAGCCAAACACAAACATGTTGGCTAAGGATGGTCCATAATTGCGTTGTGAATTTCGACAAGTTTAATGTAACATGATGTCAAAAGGCAGCCCCCCAACAAAATCTGGGGTGGAGCACGTCCGTTCGCTCACGCATTCAGTGAAGCCTGTCTTCCAAACCACTGAGGATCCCCACCCCGTGGACATCATGGGGGCCCTAGTTTTACACAGTTTTCCATGCAACCAAGAGAAACCCAAGGAATTGCCGCAAAAAAGGGCCCCCCTTGCTACAGATCAACCAGGGGGTGGGGGACGGAGGCAAAGGCGATCGCTAGGACAACTCAAAATCGCGCTGTACTGTGCCGGCGGCAGCCTGGCTTTCCACTCGCAGATCCCAGGCTGCTCATGTCGAGCCACGGTCAATCTGAAAAGACCAGGTCCTCCAGATTTGAGAGGTTAGAATAAGTTGGTACTTGTTTTGCTTGGTTTTCTTTTTTTTCCGGTAGTTTATCTTAGTAGGGGAACCCTCCCCCCAAAAAGTGTAAAGGGGCACTACGGAGGGACCTAGAAGAAACACACACACACATGGGGGACGTGGACCTCTTTGGAAGTTGGATGACAAATTCGTGCTGCCTTTATGCTTCCAAAGCACGGCATTTGGTGACAACACCCCCCCCCCCCCCCCGATTTCTTCAAGCAATTTGGCAAGTGTCCCAAATCCCATTTGCCGGAGCAAATGATGGTTAGTATTGACCGTTGCTCTTATCCAAAATTGTCCCTGCCCCTCCTTGTGGAAGGGGGGACGGCGATCTGGGGCCAACATGTCGAGGCCATCATTGCTCAAACATCCGGGCAGTCAGGCAATCCAGGCAAAAGATCCGCGTAAAACCTCAGGAAGTCAAGCCGATGTAGGACCGAAAGAAGAATCTGAGGGACTTCCTTGGTCCACTGGCCAAGGGCAAGACAGTCTGTGTTGAAATAAAACCAAACTCACTTCAAACTCTTTAGATACCACCAAAATCATGATTAGACTGAGGCCCAGCTATAGAATTTATATTCTAGTGTTTGCTTCCCTTTGAGTCACTGGTAAAATGTAAAATGTATCCTAAGTCTACCCCAGACATGGTCTTCCCCAAAAGTTTGAAGTCCAGGAACTCAGGAAGTGAGCAAAAGAAAGGCAGGATGCCAAACTTACGCCGACCTGGCCCCAGTCACATGCCGCAAAGCTTTCAGAGCCTGTCCATCTGGGCAAATTGTTCAACGGAGCTGACACCAACAAACATCCCGAGAACACGCACTTGCACTGCTGCAATTCCAACTTAATCAACTTTGCTGGTGATGGCACACAACATGGTTTTGTTTGTTTGTTTCGCAATTGTGGTCCATGTTGGTTGGCAAACATCTGAAACAAACCAGGGGTTTTCGGCTTGCAACACCTGGGTGGTGAGTTGCCCAGGTGTCCATGCAAAACCTTCGGCTGTCCAGGCCGAAGGCACAAATTCCAAGCCCCAGTCGCGCAGCGGCCCGAAAGGCAAAAGAAATCGAATGCTTTCCTGGGCTGCCCGTTTTCAGATCCCCTGCTAAAAGTAAATAACTTTTAGTGGGGTAAATTCGGAAATCCAACCACTGAACACTACAAGGCTAAAAAGCTAAGGAACCGGATGGCTGGGCTTGCCACCAAGTTTCTAGCACTCTGCTCCCAACCGCGGATTTTTTTGGACAGTGCTTGGGATTGAGCATGGGGAAAAGCAGCTGTTGGGGGCCGGGGGGAACGAGGGGGGGGGGCCTGGTTTTGCTTCGTCGACAGTTTTGGTGAGAACCCAGCGAGAAGATTGAGGGTGCCAAGATGCGAACATGGATTTGAGGATGCCACTCGCAAAAAGATTTGAAGCTGGCTGGTGACAAACCATTTTTCGTTACTTCACCATGTTTGATGGGGAATCCACCCAACCAAACAGAAAACGGACTGGGCTGTTCGAGAGAGAGATTAGGGTTGGCCAACCCTCATCCATTCTTCTAGGTTTGTTGGTTGGTTGATCATTTCATAAGCCTCTAAAAACAAAAACCAGAGGGTTCAACTCCCATTGAAAGAATGGCAAGGACTCAATTTGGATGAACAATTCCTGAGGGGTTAATAATAGTGGTGAAATAATTCAGGAATATAAACCCCTGGGTGTAATATAGAATTATGGTGGTGAATCAATGGGTGAAATTTATAAACCCCTTTGATTCAGCTGGTGGTAACTGAACGCCAGGAAAAAGGATTGAGAAGGATTGGCACGGAGCCGCGGCTGAACTGGGAAGCAACGATGAGCCAACCAGCCGACAGGCACGTTGCGTGCCGCGGTCGGCTGGGACTCCGCGATTGCTGCATCCGTGAATTCAAACACTTTGAATTGGGCCAACTGAATGCTGAGCCATCCCCCCTACCTTAAGGGGGAGGGGGGTGGGGGGTCCGGGACCCAATTCCATTTGCGAGGGCGTGGGGATGCTGAGGCCAAAACATTACTATGCCGCGGGAAATCCAAAGAGAGAACAACAAACTCTACCACAAACACTTCCATTTGTTTTTTCGCCTCCCTGGACAAAATGAGAACATATTTCCAGTAGTGATACATTGCCTTTAAACCATCAAGGGAAACTAGCAAATATGATGTTCAGCAAATGGAGGTACAGGTAAACTCCTATACTGCAAAGGCGTAGCAAGGGAATTCTTGGCTACTATTCATGACCTCTTGCTTACATGCAACAGCCCCAGAAATCTAAAGTCCGAGCTCCGGAACTCAAGGGAGAAAAGTCGGCCATGTATCTTGGCTGCTGCAACTGTTTCCGCCTGCAAAAAGTGAGCTTCACTTTTTGGGGGTTGAGTGGAAAACCCCACTTGATTTCAAACCAAAAAGTTAAAAAGACCCGTTGCCCAATAGCAGTCCAGGTACGGCCCTTTGGCCTTGACCTTCCCATGGCTCTGAAGCGCGAGGCTCTGAAGCAGTCTTGGAAAGTAGGCCATGATGAAATCAAGGGGCGAGCGCCCGGTTACCAGTCACAACCATAGATACCGTGGTTGCGAACTCCGCAAATCTCGCACTATATACCGTTCAGAAACCATGGTTGAAAATCATTCATTTTGGTGGTATTTGCCGGGGGATCAAATCATTCCAGGGGTTTCTTAGGTGGTGCGAAATGGATTTGGTCGATCCACGGTATTACCTCGCAATATTGGAAACATGGAATCACTGGGTTTGGGACCCCTCAGGTTGGGTTCTGATTGTGGTAACGTCAACCCCCGGATCTTGGTTGACGTTGGAAGGGGAGCAAACATTTTAATTTTAGCAGTTAAGTGAAGAAATCCCACTAAACCACAATGAGCAAAAATGTAAAATGTTTCCCACCAACAACCATGGGATGAGTAACTATTCCGAATTCACACGGGGGTTCGTCACTTCAAAATGGGACGCTTCCCCACTAAGCAACAAGAAACTATGCTACTGATCAACCATGGGCCGAAGAATCTTGGAATCTTCAAGGTTGGCTCGTTCCCTCGGGATCAGGGCAAAATCAGCTGCTTACCTGACCCTGGGATAAACATCCAAATTGATGATCTCCCTTTCTCAGGTAGGTTCTGCTGTTCTCTGTGAAGATTCCCTTCCAAGAAGGAAACAAGTCGAATTGGCAATAGAAAGGCTTCTGATCAGGTCAGCATTCATGGCCATCCGTGCTCATGCTCAAACATCCTTTGACCATGGCACATATGAGGGGCGCGCGGCGCCTGTCATTACCTCACTCGAGATCCCGCGATCTGGGGCAAGGCACTTCGCCTCATCCCCCCTTCCTCAAGGGGGGACGGGGCGGGGTTGATCCCCCATGTGAGGTTCCGTCCAATTTCTGGCCTCATTGCTTTACCGCGATCAAAGTCACCCCCTAAGTGATGGGGCAAGGGGATACGACCCCATTTTCCTCACCGGCTGAGTGGATGCTCCAAAAAAAAAAACAAACG